GTGATGCAGTGACAATTGCCTGTTGGTCCACTCCCTCTGGGGTACCTGGCATTGGCCACTGTCGGTAGACAGGATACTGGGCTAGATGGACCTTTGGTCTGACCCAGTACGGCCGTTCTTACGTTATGTTCTTAACTGAGGAAGCAGCGGGTCGGCAGGGACCTATATACACCACAATGAAAGCGTGACTCCAGGGGGCTCCACAGCCGATCTGATGGTTACCACTAGGGGAAAAACCTTCCGACGATCGTGCCCGCGGTGCGTACACACCTACTTGGAATCGACATGAGCAAGCACTCGAAGAAGAATGGCAGAATTACCTCTTGTAACTGAATTGGAAATTGAAGACAGCACTTTTAGGCTCATTTTAAGAAGTGGACACTAAAGTCAACGAGTTAACGTGGAACATGGCATTTGCCACTCCCTGCCCCAAAATGGAATAACAGAGCACTGTGCAAGCTGTCATTTTATAACCAGCAACCTCAAAGAGCTATTTCTACTGTGAAATGGTGAAAGGGGGCAGAGGTAATCAAATATTTAAAAGGGTGGAGATTATAAAAGAAGAGAGAAACACTAGCAGCTGATAAGGCAACACGTATTATGTTATTATCTTAAATACAACAGTAGCAGGAAAAGAAACACAGGGAGAAAGTGTGTTGGTTGAATTGGAGAAATATATATATGCACATCCACACTCTTATGTTTATGTAGTGTCCTACGATTTAAATGGTTTGTTCTGCTTTCACGACTCATTTGTTTCTTCCTGTCAAGAATTCAGGTCTTTAAAAAGATTTTTCTGGGACTGCAATATTTATTTTCAAAAGTATCCATTTCCAAAAATTGCCATTAGACAGCACTGTCATCACACTTCTCTTTTAAAATTAATTTTGCTCAACAATGCTGCCTTTTCAAAGGATTCTTCCTTCATTTGTACTCAGCTGAGGATTTATTTTCACTTGTGCACCAAACCGCATGCTTATAAAGATGCATTATTCATCAATCTCATATGCATATGAACATTTGTAAGCAGAAACCTGGGCAGACATTTTGTCACAGCTCCAAATGGCTTGGCCAGTAGACACAGTATATTACTGTGCAGGAGACCAGGATGGGAGAACACCCATCAAAATACTCACATTTTTGTGCAGCGCTGCCTGAAAGCATCATGAAGTCCTAGAATTCAGGGAATGTGAAGGCATGCGATACTGGGCAGAAGGAAGATTTAGAGCAGTAGTACCTCTTCCTCACTGCAGGAACGGGCTGCTTGACAGCAAAGCTTTACAAAAGGAGGGGAGGATCCGGGATAGAGCAAAAAGCAGCCGCTCAGAATGACAGGCCAAAAGAAAAGCCTAAAAGCTAATGTGAACTGGCCTGATTACATGTCCAGTTCTGGAACACACAACCAGGTTTAGACGGGTAACACAAAACCCAAGATCTCCTCCCATTTCCCATGCAACATGTTTTTTGGGAGAAATAGTTGGCGGGGGGAGGGAGGACTCCGAAGCAAGTCCTGTGCTGGCTTCTTTGAATTGCACGCTTTGCCTGTTAATTGGTCTTATTTCCATGAGTAATGTACTGGTATTTCCGTCTGCCCAAATTGGCTTGCCCAAAGCCTGAGAACTGGCTCACTGGCTGGCTTGCCTCCTGCTGTGTTTGGAGCTGTGCCTTTTCAACTGATTCTGCATCTCCAAAGGATATCAATTAAGCCTCTGCTATATTCTACGCACTGGGTCTGTTTGTGTCACACACACATACAAAACGTATTTGACTGGAACAAGGCTTTAGAAGAACAACCTGCTGTGGGGAGGTTAGATAACCGGCTTTTAACACAGTAGATGCACTTCAAACCTCTCAGACCTTTGACTTCTCAAGGCAAGGACTGGAATATATCAAGGATTTTAAATGCTCTTGAAATGACACACTGATACCACAAGAGCTTTGAAGGGGAGAGTGGAGTATAGAGACTGGATCTGCACTATCATTCTATAAAACTCATTCACAAAAATTATTGGGGGAAATCTCTTTCCGCCCAGGTGTCACTCTGTGTCTTAAGTGCCTTGGAGGAGGTTAGTGTCCATTTTGATATCAAAGATGTAGGAAGACAAGATTTGCCATAATCAGAGCCGTCCGTTGGGCTACTAATTACAGTATCCAGTTTTTGCCAGCAGCTAATAGCTGATGTTTCAAAGAAAAGCAAAAGAAAACTTCAAAGATCACACACACACACACAATTAAGATGCTGGAAGATACCAGAATAGCTTCTGAGGCTTGCGACGTGGGAGTCTGTAGACAATGGGATGGTCTTGCCTAGTTTTAAATTAGTTTAGCTTGCATTATTTGCCATTCCTAATACAGCAAAGCTGGACAGCCTGCCGGGAAGCCACAGTAAAGCACCAGTAAAATACCTTCCAGGGGGAGGGGGTTTCCATAAAAAGAAATGTATTAACTGGATTAACCTATATTTAAGGGATCAGCAATCAAAGAGGAACATTTCATTAACAACTTTTAATTATTTCCAAATCCCCATACAGACCATAGCCCATTAACACCAGTATTTAAAAAAATAATAATAATAATACTCCGCAGTTTGCAGTGCCATCAACTGCTCCAATGAACAGGAGCTTTACAGAAGAGAGGAGAAAAAAGCAAGGCTAAAAAACGGGACTGTTTTCAGGCTTTTAAGCACAGTAATACACTGCTTCTCCTCTTCAAGGTTATAGTTTTGCATGGAACAGTGGCTGGTGGGCTGGGATGTAACTGCACACTCCAGGGACATAGTTTGGCCTGGTGCTCCCAGCACAAAAGAAGTAGCGTTACCATAGCTTTGCGCTCAGCTGTGTGCAGTTCTGCTCACAACGTCGGGTTTTTGAAAAAAAAGAATATACTGGGTAATTTTTTTTTTTTAATTTGCACATGAGTATGTATCCAGCTTTCCTTAAATGATTTTGTTACTCTTTTATTCATTTTAATTAATTTGCATTGAACAAACATACAAATGAGGTCTCAGAAGCATAAAACACCAACCTCCATAGAAAATGGCACCTTCAATAGGAGCCCAAGCTGTGACATTTGCTGTTTGAAGCATGTGAATTAGAGGCGGCTTGCAGTTAAACTGGTCTCAGCACAGAGAAATTTGGAGGATAAAACCCTCCTGACCCAAATCACACTCCCACACTTCTCTGTTCATTTGGTTTCTCCAAGTCAGCCCATGACAAATCAAACAAGTGAATGTAGCTGCCCCCTGTAGGTAGAAGGAATACCATCTATCTAGGCTGGTACAAGATGATATTGGAGAGATACAGGATAAGAGTAAGGTGTAGACACTACCCGCAGTTATACCCAGGCAGCAACAATGACTTCACCAGAGCTGCCTGGGTATTACTGCAGGCAAAGTTCTCCCCAATGGTGTTGATGGGATCAACGTGTCTAACAAGTTCCAACCTGTGTAAGCTGTTGCATAATAAATGGGAACAACAATAAGTGTTCTACTGTATAAATCACTCAGTAAATAAAAATCATTTTAAAACGTCCTGGTCACTTTAGAATTCACGAGAGGTTTTTAACTAAATACCACAACCTCTCTTTTTTCATACAATCGTATCTGTACAATAATCCCTATTGAATTCAGCAACACCGGAATACTAGCTGTGAGTGTATTGTATAGAACCACACACAATGTTTATCAAATTTCAGAAATACCTCATTTTCCTGGGTAAAGTCAAGAGCATCTTCTCCTGAAGCAAGTAGCGTATGAAGGATCCTTTGTTTCACCTGTTCCCATTCGACCAGCATTGATTCTCGGTGGTACTCTTCAGCCATACCAAAGGTCTATTAGCAGAGAAAAATAAAAGCTAAGGAACTCACAGAAACACCAAATAATCTTTAAAGGACAACATCAATTATAACCACTAACTAGTTCTGCTGTAAGTAAAGCACAGACAGGAATCAAAAGTAAAGAAAAACATTAACTAGTTTAACGAATGTTGAGAGAGCCCTAGAGCCAATGTCCAGCAGTAAATAATTTAGAAGGTATTCTCGTTCAGGTTTTTGATGATTCAAACAAGCAAAGGGCTAGCAAAACAAAGGCATTTTAACACGTGTCTAGCTCTGTAAAATGAGTGCCTTGCACAATTGAGCCCTGCTCCTGGTTGAAGCCTCTAGGAACTACTGTAATACAAATAACATTAATAGGTTTGCTTTCAAAGATGTACATTACTGATGCAACACACGGAGCAATCTGAGGTTCATTCCATCTCTACCAGACAAACCACAGGGAATTGGTTGAACTCCCAACTTTCATCAGTTGGTGTCAACTGCAGCTTCTGTTGCCAAAAAGTCTGGCGTAGAAATGCAGATGATGCAGTATTTGTCCACAGACCTGCTGTACCAAAAGAGGAAAAGATTTCTTATCATCTTAACTACAGGTTTAATTCTGTATCAGATTGCCCAAGTAAATGGAAGTAAGGGAATCCTAGTCTGCAATGTCTGCTCCGCTTTTAGGTTTCGAGGAGCATTTGAAATTGCCTTGTGTATTCACTTTCTGCATGGAAGACCACCAGTTAGGACTGGGTTGATCGTTGTTGCTCCGTCAGAGGCAGGTAGCGCCACCCCTCTACACTACAGCCACCTCACATCACTGGTCAAATACTTCCTCGGTATCCAATACTACTAGATAGCGAATAGGAAAACTGGCAATAAACACAATTAGAACTGCCCCCTTTGCATCTCAAAACCTTGTCCAGGGACAAGTAGAAGCTGGCTGCTCCACACCATTAGGGCTGTTAAAAGGTGAGTTCAGTAAGGAGATGAAGGGGATAGAGCTGGGAGTCCCCACCCCCACCGACTGTGCCCTGCTCCAGACCTACATCTCAACCAGGGTAAGTCCCATTTTGGGCAGTCCATCCATTTGCTGGGTGCCTATCAGTGAGGGAAGAGATGACAAGACACCTCTTTCTGGGGTAACGAACAGCTGCAGGTGACAGACTAGGCAAAAGGGATCTGCTCTGAGGCCATCATGCCATCCCCACACTGCCACCATTACCTGATGTGCCTTTTTACAGGCATATCTGCCACCACGCTGCATTATACCCCAAGCTAGGGAGACTGGGAGGCCGGGTCAGATCTAGGTTCTAATGCTTTTTCAATATGGAAGCAGAGCTATCTGTCACTCAGGGTGTGAGGAGAAGTCAGCCCATTCCAAACCGGGGGTGGGGGGCCTCCCTCACAGAAACAATAAAGAGTGACGTGAGTGAAATCTGCACCTAGGACTATTTCTTCAGGCAACCTTCCCTGTCCCACATCCTTCTCTGTTCTTGATTTTAGAGTAAACCCAAGGTTTCCAGGTCAAATTTGTTCCACCTACGTTGAAAAGATTAGCCTCTCTATTAGGCAGCTAGTTTTGGTGGGCTCTTGGGCAGTCCAGTTAAAATAAAGGGTTTCATTGTATTATTACTTCGCCCCTAAAGAATTTAAAAAGAAAAAACTAGGGAAGAGAGATCAAAATTCAGGATATCTAAGTGGCATACTATGTGTTTGTACAGTGCCTAGAACAATGGGGCCCTGATCCTGACTAGGGCCTCTGTCTTATAAACAACATACAGAATGCAGGGACTGTATTCCATCTGCTTGGGGGGGAATCACCGCAGATGATAACAGAACAATCACTTGGCCTGCTGAAGACCTAGAAGCTATAAGAAGAGGTACTTTAGGACTTAATTGACTCTTCTTATGGGGTAGGAGGTTGGATTCCGGGACAGAAGTGGCACTGGATTTCAATGAGCTAGGTTTCACAGCAAAAACACTTCCCACTTTCTGTCACCTGCTTGCCAGGCTGGGAGAGCCATGCCAGCATCCCATTCAGGAGTGGAGCTCACAGACGCTGAAGGCAGCCCACCTTAACCTTGGCCAGGAGAACCGTATGCAACATGGGGCACTGGACTGCAGGCAGGTGTTGTTGGGAGGAGCCACGGAATGTTGTAAGAAACACAAATAGGCCCCGGTGAGGCGTGGAAAGCAATGATTAAGGGTCTGAAAGTGCTAAACACCTACAACTCACATGGAGTTCATGCTCAGCACCTTTCAGGGTCAGTCCCTACGTTGCCCAGTTCTCTCAGCCTTTCCGAAATTCAGGGAAGTAAACGGGACCACCTTATCTTGGAAACAAAGATAGTTTCTCTCTAAAGTGACTAAACTGCTGAGACGCTGAGCCCTTCAGATATGATTTTTAAACTCACAGAAGGAAAAGAGTTTGCTCATTATTCATTCAGCAACAGCATTAGAGAAGAGATGTTGCTTCATTGCAGTCCCATTCATTATTGGTGTGATGGTGACAAGTAGCCACGAACAAATGAGACAGGAAATATCCTAACATGTCCAATAGCTCCAGATAGAGAGGAGATTATCTTAGATCAGGTGTAATCAATTATTTTTTTTGTGAAGGTCTAAATTTCTTGGTCAAGGTATATTCAAGGTCCAGAGAAAATAATATAAAAATAACAATAATGATAATAAGTAAATAGAAAGATTTCAGGGTCCGTTCAAAAGTGTCTGGCAGTCCAGATTTGGCCCGCCGTCTGCCTATTGACTACCCCGATCTCACTTCCTTTCCCGCATCCAACTCTCTCTTTCACATACACCCACAATTTTGCACTGTGGTGTGTGACTAAATGTTCTGGTTGGCTGCACTCATTTTTTTCAATCGCATTATGGCCCAATGTTAGGATACTGTCCGTTGGAAAAAACACGCATCAGTATATATGACTTCATAAAAGGCCATGGCATTTGACAGCAAACATTTAATTGTGGTGCCTGCATATAAATAGATCATGAGATTTTTGTTTCTTCCCTAATGTATAATATTAAATACTCTTATATAGTCAGGACTGGATCCAGCTAGGCTCCATATTTTCACTGCGGTGTCATTACCTTTATGGTTAAACAGAAATACCAATTAGGTATTAAAACAAGTGTTTGTGTGTATATAGAAACACAGTGCTGCAATATTTTTGCATACAGCTTCAGCGAATATCATTTTTATACACAAAAAATTTAGCTCTGAACATTTACTCACTAAAAACCAAACCATTTAATAAGGATGCTTTGAATGTTATATATATACACACAATAGTTAAATCTCATAGCACTATTGCTTGCTGGACTCTGAACACAAGTACTCACTGTATGTAGAGAACATCACAACTTGTCATATGCACGTGTAAACTGAGACATACTTACAGTGAATTCACTGCATATTGTCCTTTTATGGAAAGTTATCATTTGGGGGGTCTGCTCCCTCCCCAAGACATTTCTTAATAAGTAAGGATCAGAGTGTTTCTCAGTGTCCCAAAGAGGATGTTGCCACTTTAATAAAGAGGTTCTAATGTCCAATACTCTGTGTTGTGTGGGTCTCCGATCTATTGTCTATTGTCAAACCCATAACGGCTACCCCACTCATTAACAGAATTAGCACATTCTCAGAATCCAACTCATTATACTGCAAGGACTTTCTGAAACTACAGTTTCAAAGGCTATGTACACGAAAACAAATTTTACTCTATTTATAGAGCAAGGAATAAGTAATACTAGCCATTTATAATTGTTCCATACACTGTGAAAGATTCAAGAGCTTTTAAATTTTGTCTGTTTATCAAATACAGCATTTAATTTGTAGAACTGTCCTTCAGGATTTTTTTTTTTTAATACTACTTTCCAACTTACTCTTTTCCTGGACTCTTCAATGGCTGACAGCAAAGCATTATCTTTTTCATTCTTCAGGAATCCCTATGGAAAGGAGAAATACAGTTTCAGTTGAAAATCAGCCTTACATCAGATGCACACTGCACTACTCAGCTCTTGCAACTTTAAGAAGTGCTAGCAGCTTTCTCCCCAGTTCACCCCTGAGGAGTTTAAAGGTCATTTTGTTTCACTCAAGGTACAGTAAGTTGCCCATAAAGCTCAATGTGAAAATGAAAATACATTAATCCCCTGTTTTAATATGCATTAAATCCTAGTGAAGGGTCCTGCTTCTATTCTCTTTTATCTCTGTCCCAGCAACTGCTTCCTCTCGCTCCCCATTTGAGGGAACCGGGTGAAAGCTTGTTAGAGCGATAAGCGGAGATAAGATTGTTGGACCTTGGTAAGTAAAGAAGGTTTGGACTTCACAGCTTCAGGCAAGGGCAGAGTTTTAGAGGCCAACTGGAAAGCATGAATAAGAGCTTAAGGAAATTAGTTGCAAACAGGTAAAATGACTAACAGTTGAAAAACACTCTGGAAAAGTTTGCAAACAGTCTTTTCCCTCCTCCCCTCGACACATCAAAAAAAGGGGATTTTTTAAAAATCTATTTAGATTATTTTTTTCCTCACGCATGGCTGGTCTAGGTTAGCAAAACATGCAAGCCATTGCAGTTAATACCTTGCCTGCACCTGCATGTTATTTTTGTGTTACTCTTCATCAGCAAGAACATGTTGTATTTCAAAGATTTGCAGTGGATCTCATTCATTACCTTCAGAAGCAAGCACTAAGACCAACCAAGATGCAGAATTATTAGAGCAGAATTCACATCTCTTTATTTTGTAATTTTGCTGCGATGCATCTCCAATTACCAAATCATCCAGGTTTGCTATCCCTGGACTTGGAGTCAACTCATTAGTAAGCCTTAAAAATAAAAAAAAACTACCCACCAACTTTCATTTCCTCTAAAAATATCAATTACAATGACTGATAAAATAGGAATAACTTCAAACTGTGTGTGTTAACTGAAGAAAGCTCGCAGATTAAGAGTAGGAGGTCAGCATGTTTTACCTTTGATGTTATATGCACTAATCATAAGAATATATGGTAGTGGCAGCACCTAGTGGTCCCAATCAGGAATCGGAGTCCAATTGTGTTATGCACTGCACACACACAACAAACAGATGGTCCCTGCCCCGCAGATCTTACAGACAATCAGTACCACTCCTCGTTCCCAAATTAGTGCTGAAGGGGTCCTGAGGAGTGCTGAACTTCCTCAACTCTCACTGACTTCCACGGGATAGGACAGCACTCAGTTTCAGACACGTTTGAGCCCTTTACGGAGGGTATCTGCCATAGGTCCTACACAAGCGAAGCTGTGCAATGTGACAGAGTGGAGGACAGTTTTATACAATCTCAAGTGTTACATTTTTAATTTGGGGGGGGATGATGACATTTTTTTAATACAAACATGGCACTGACTCTGGGTGATTAGTCACACACTGGCACTACAGATCCAGAGCTTTGTGCATGTGTGCACACGTGTACGTATTACAGTCAGACAATTGCTATATAAGTCATACATACACAGGTAACCAGAACGTGAAGCCTTGTTTTTCAGTTCCCCCCCAAAATCCAGGCCTGAACCAGTTTAGCAACTAGAGAACTCGTTAGCTGACAACAACAGGTCCCTATTCTCTGTGCCCCAGCCATTTGACGGCAACATTACACAGACAGCCCATGCAGGTGACGTATGTTTTGCCTTTATTGAATGATTTTTTTTAAAATAAACTTGAGCACCCAGGAAGGATGAATTTCAAATTCTAAAGATAAATCAAGACAGATGATCCTTGTGTGCTGCATTTGAACGGTAAGGTTGGGGACTATCACTATAGCTGTCAGTGACTGCCCTAGTCACCTACGGACTGGGACAGGACTGAATCGTTGATTGGCTCCTCTGCTAACCTCCCCCCCACCCCCTTCCAATATCACTAATCAAGAAGGTTTGCTGGTATCTTCAGGGAGTCATTCCTTGAGTGCTTCTCTCAAATTTAAGTGCCTTCTGAGCAATAATGCTTGTTTCTAACAAGCAGGGTCTCTAGGATATCAAGGCTCTTTGTCCAGCATACCAAGCAGAGGACAAGTCTCCTCTCCTGTCAGGAGGACGCTGAGGTTACAGAGAACGTCACATGCCTCCTGTGCCATATGTCATTGCTGTTCATTTTTCACAGAGAAAACCCTTCCTCCGAGACCCAGAGCTGCGGGTGTCTGGATGGGATGGAAGCTGAAGGTGCTGAGTGTAACCCTGAAGATCCCAGGTCCCTGTGACCCTTGATGAGGTTGCTGTCTATTCAGGGCCGGTGCTACCATTAAGGCAAACTAGGCAGTTACCTAGGGCGCCAAGATTTGGGGGCGCCAAAAAGCGGTGCCCCCAATTTTTTTTTTTTTACAGCGTTCCTACGCCCCCTCCCCAAACGTGCAGTCACCACTCCACTTCTCCCGCCTCCCAGGCTTGCAGCACCAATCAGCTGTTTGGCTCCGCAAGCCTGGGAGGGGAGGAGAATTAGAGCGGGGGCAGCGTGCTTGGGGAGGAGGCGGAGCAGAGGTGAGATGGGCTACGGAGCTGCCACACGGCTCTCCAGGGGAGGGAGCTGCCACGGGGGGAGGAGGGGGGAGCTGCCGCAGGGGGTGGGCGCCTCAAGGCGGGGGGGAGTCGGCGGGAGCTGCTGCAGGGCTGGGGGGGTGGCGCAAGGTGGAAGTTTCACCTAGGGCGCGAAATTTCCTTGCACTGGCCCTGTGTCTATTTCTCCTCTGACGAATGAACTCTCTTCGAGGAGTGGCAGTTGGAGCTGTATCATGATGTAACGGAGAAGAATTATGCACTCCTCACCTCACTGAGTAAAGCTCAACTCTCCTCCTTCCACTGTGAGCTCCGTGAACTCAGATGTCCAGGGCCTGTACTAGAGTCTGTGACTCCCCTGAGAATAGCCAACAGTGCAGAAGGGAGGACATCATTGATTTCACGGGGGAAAGCGTTTACTGTGATATGAGCAGAGCCCAGAATATTGTCCCCAAGGGAGGTGAGGTGAGAGATGTGATGACTGCTCATGTACCTGGCTAAGAAATAAGGTGCAATTTTTTTATTATTATTTTTTTTTTAACAGTGAGGGTAATTAACCAATGGAACAGTTTACCTGAGGATGCAGTGGATTCTCTGCCATGAAGTTTTAAAACCAAGACTGAAAGTCGTCTAAAAGATGTGCTCTAGCTCAACCAGGAGGTCGTGGGCCTGTTGACGAGTTTATTGGGTGAAATTCCATGGCCTGCGTTATGCAGACTAGATGGCCACAATGATCCTTTCTGGCCTTGGAATATATGGTTCTATTGATTTAAAAACCTGGAATAAACCTCGCAATATCTATCCTAAGAAAACAGATTGATTTAAAATGAAGATGTACCTCATGTTAAACTTAGGTCTGGAACATGACAACCACTTTTTAAGTTAAGCGGAAGCTAATCATTCAACTTCTGAAGGGGGAGCTTCCAGCAGCTGCTGTTGGAATTGATCCCAGCTACTTAATTCATGCTTTGTTTTAACAAAAATAAATTCTGGCACTTGTTCCATCTGGGTCTGTAACCAGAACTGGCATACATTAAAAATATTCCTTACATGTTGATTACATTGCCACCTAGTGGCATATGGTTTTTTGTTTTAAGCACAGATTAATATTTGCATATACCTGGTTCGAGAGAGGATTTTCCTCAAGGCAGGGAGGGTGGTAGGATTGGGACGTGAGTGGGGGCTGGGGGAGAGAGATGCATTCCATAAATATTAATTCATTTATTTTCACAACACTCCTGTGAGATGAAGGGGTGGCATTATACCAATTTTACAGCTGGAGAACTGAGGCACACAGATTTTAAGATCAAGTTTTCACTAATTTTGTGTGCCAATTTGAGACACCTAGGACCTGATCATTCAGATTACATAGCATTACATAACACTTTAAATGTGCAAAGCACAGCTCCCATTGATGTCAGTCGCAGCTGAGAGTGCTCAGCCTTCTGCAAATCAGACCCCAGCGTACCAAGTCAGTGCCATAGAAAAAGAGGAACACACTAGTGACAACCTGTGAAAAGTTAGGTTTAAGTGACTTGACTAGCATCACACAGGAATGTTGTGGCAGAGGCAGGGATAGACTCCAGTTCTCGTGGGCAGCATTCAGCTGCCTTAACTATGAGACCATGCTTTGACTTCCTGCAATCCTCTGCCTCATTCACTACACACCTTCCAACTTCTGCAACAAAAAGAAGCAGAGATCCTAAGGACAACGGACGCCTTCACTACACAACCTTGATTCATCCTCCAGGGCATGTCCATCCTGTGGGCTGAATCAGATAGTGGTCCTCTGGAAAAAATACCATGTGATCATGTAATTCAAGATTATATCACAATGCATACACACAAAGGGGATGAATTAAGATTGTTTTTGAGTACTTGACTTTGCAACCTTAATAATATTCTTTTAACATAGTTTGTGTGTGAACAGTTTCGTAGAATTTTAAAACAAGCAAAATGGAGAACAGAAATTCCATAATGTGGCAAATTTGACACCCACATGGGTCATCAGCAGGATTGGAACCTTTAGATCTACTGCAGAGGTCTCTGCCACTTGAGCTAATAGCATAACCGATACCAGCAGTAGGTTGTTATCTTCTATGAGAGCCAGCATTTAAGGGGGATGACACGCTCTGCCAATAGGTTTCACAGGTATTTGCGTACAGCAGAGGAATAGTAAAACACTGGAATCTCAGGTTCCATTCCAGACTCTGGAGAAGGGCGCCCTTTAGTGGGTACAGACCCTTTCTGTCCTATCCCCTTCCTCTCTCTTTCCCACCCCAGCTCCTCATACCATTTTCACATTCCCCTCACCTACCAGTCCCAGTCTCCAATACTCATATTTGTCATTCCAATCTCAGCCTTTTCCCCAGCCAGTCCTAGTCTCCCCGCACCCTCCAATACCAGCCCCTCCCCAGGTCCAGCTTTTGT